CACTGAAGGTCACACACTGCAACCTGCTTTCCTCTTTAAAAACAGGAGATGTCAACAGAAGACAATCACAAGTCAAACGCTTTGAGTGCAGCTTTATGATTTTAGATGTTGAAGGAGGACAGGAAGCGTTCGATGTCACATGAACCAGGCTGACACACGCAGACCCTGCTTTGTGTTTCAGTGACGCCCCCGTCAGCGAGCTGTCGTTGGAGCTGCTGCTGCTTCAGGTCGTGCTTCCTGCTCTTCTGGAGCAAGGACACACTCGTCAGTGGCTCAAAGGCCTGGTCCGAGCCTGGACGGTCAGCGCTGGTTATTTATTGTAGGTCAAACCTGGGAAGAAGCCGAGCGTGTTTTTATTTATTTGCTTTCTGTTCCCTGATCATACGATTGTGGCGTCATTGTTTTTGTTTGCAGGGACCTTCATTCCTACCTCCTGGGTGAGCAGGAAGACAACGAAGCCAACCAAGCCGCAAACAACAACAACAACCCTCCGCAGGGTCATCAGAACAACAACAACAACCCAGCGCCGGCTGTTGGGGAGGGGCTGCACGCAGCGCATCAGGCCATCCTGCAGCAGGGGGGGCCAGTGGGTTTCCAGCCGTACCACCGACCCCTCCGCTTCCCATTTAGGGTGAGACAGTCCGGTGGTTTGAAACAGGTTTTAGTCTGGATTTATTTTTGCATCATAACAGAGAAGGAAGTTTATTTTGTGATTTGTCCCCAGATCGTCCTGCTGATCATCTTCATGTGCATCACTCTGCTGTTGGCCAGCCTGCTGTGTTTAACCCTGCCAGGTAAGGTGTGGCAGCAAACAGCTGAACTAACAGATCATTCTCTCCTGTTGGGCTCCACCCAGACCATAATGACAGTCTGTCTAGATTTACTCACATGGCTTCCTGTCGTATCAAATCTCATGTTTCTCCACCATGACCACTACAAGGTTGGCTCTGATGTGGAGGGGTTTTGTTGTCGTGTGTGTTTTTAGTTTTCACCGGTCGGTGGCTGATGTCCTTCTGGACAGGAAGTTCCAAAATCCACGAGCTGTACACCGCAGCGTGTGGCCTTTATGTGTGCTGGCTGTCGGTGCGTGGAATCACCGTTCTGCTGGCCTGGATGCCGCAGGGCCGCATCGTCATCATGCACAAAGTGCAGGAGTGGTCACTCATGGTAAGCGTCAGTGAGTGCTGTGATGTTTTACACACGTGTGATGTTAAAATATAATTCAGAGCCACTTCAGTTCTTTTCTGTGTAGACCATTGAAACTGCAGAAAACATTTGCTGTGGCAAAGCAAAAAAAAAAAACCCCCACTCAGAAACTGGGGTCTAAATGATGGAGAATGAAGGAGTGAAGGGCCTGACATGCTCCATCCAGAGCCAAACCGTCGACGTGTGGTCACCTGGTTGTGTTCACGCACACCTCTCATGCTCCACGAGACGCAGAGCTGGAAACCCTCCCGCTGCAGTATGCGTCACGGCGTGGGTTTCTTCCCGCCACTCCGTCCCTGCAGCCGCCGTTTGACCTCAGATCCATCGTGAAGACCGCGACGCACTTTTCAGCACGGACTCCTCCAAACACGACGTCTGCACGACCTCCGTCCACGACGTTTCCCCCATGGACTGATTTGATGTGTGAAGAGTTGAATGTCCGAACACGTTGACGAACGCCCACAAACCAGTGACCACACGGTTCTTGGAGCATATGTGAGAAACTGTTCGAACCAGGTCTTGTGCTGACACGGAGATCAACATGACGTGGTCTTCATCACGCAATGAGCCGATTGTGCCACTTCAGCTGGAGCGTGCAGGGCCCTTCATGGTTGTTCTTCAGAGCCATGAAGACATTTACACTTTATTACTATTCTTCAGTGATATCCAAAATGTTTTCTTGTTTTAGTTGAAGTAGAATCCCAATCAGAAACGTCTCCAGCCTGCCTGAGATGTAACCTTCTCTCTTTGCTCGTGTAGATCCTGAAGACCCTGGTAGTGGCCTTGCTGGTTGCTGGAGTCATCCCGCTGCTGCTGGGCCTGCTGTTTGAACTCGTCATCGTGGCCCCCCTTCGAGTACCTTTGGACCAAACACCTCTGTTTTATCCTTGGCAGGTAGGCTTTACCTGCTCAGTCTTTCTGTCTCAGGATCGTAAGAGAAGATCTTTTTTAAACGGCCGTTTCTCGTGTGATCTCGTGCAGGACTGGGCTCTCGGTGTGCTTCATGCCAAGATCATTGCAGCCATCACTCTCATGGGCCCCCAGTGGTGGCTGAAGGCTGTGATTGAGCAGGTGGACTTATACTGAGCTTGTCAACATCTCTGTTTGTCTGGTATCTGTTCTTTTAGACTGAACTGTGAATGCAGAGAAGTGGGAGTTAGTCTGTGCTCCTGACAGAATCCTCTTGATTCAATTTGAAAATGTTGCTGCGTTGCATCAAATGAATCTGAATTAAACTTAATCAGAATGTCTAAACTCTCCTCAGGTTTATGCAAACGGAATTCGCAACATTGATCTTCAGTTTATAATCCGAAGACTGGCAGCTCCGGTAATCTCCGTCCTGCTGTTGTCCCTGTGTGTGCCGTACGTCATCGCTGCTGGGGTGGTGCCCGCTGTAGGTCAGTGTCTAAACACACGCACAGCAGACCTGGGCTGGCAGGGTCAGCCACGACCAGGAATTTTACAGTGCTGGGTTATGATGGTTTTCACATCTTCCATCTCAGAAGCGTCAACATGATCTGACGTTTGTTGGTTTTTTGCTGATTTATCACCTGACCTGGCAACAGCCTCGTTTTCTTTCTGAAATCACCCGTTTTAAAGCTCAGATTTTATTAGTCTGGAGTTACGTCATCTACAATTCCAGCCCTGTATTTTATTATAGTAATATATTATATAGGGAATCAACGAGCTTGGCAGCACGGTGGTTCAGCTGGTAGAGCTACCGCCTTTCAACTCAAATTATAAGAGTTATAAGACAAAGGATTCTGTTTGTAGAAAAACTTTGATTCACAGGTAGATGAGGAATATTTTGTTACCAGATCGCTAGATTATTTTTTCTGGATTAATTTAATGCAAACAAATGAAAAATTAATATTTTCACCGTCACTATTTAAATGTACGTTACATTAAATGCATTAAAAGAGGAACAGCACATTGGAATCAGTAACGAACAGATGTTCAACGATTGTCTCGGTCAATCCTTCGTCGCCAGCAGAGTTAATGACACTGGAGTTGGAATATTCCAGAATATGAGTGATTTAATGCGGTCTGCTTTGCAGGAGTCGTCCCTGAGATGGAGATCTTGATGCAGAGGAGGATCTACCCGTTCCTCCTGATGGTGGTGTCGCTCATCGGCATCCTGTCTTTCCAGATCAGACAGTTCAAACGACTTTACGAGCACATCAAAAATGACAAGTACGACTCTTTTATCGCACGAACCAGCAGAAGTTATCTTGTGGAATCGGTTGTGATCATGTGGAAGTACTTTGTGTTTTCAGTGGAACCGCTGGAACTGTTCTAAAAATGACTTGAATCCAGAAAATATTGAGGAATCGTTCTCGTCCCTGCAGGTACCTGGTTGGTCAGAGGCTGGTCAACTACGAGCGGAAGTCTGGCCGAGCGAGCTCAGTCCCCGCCTCCAGCCCCGTGGCAGAGTGACCTTTCTGTCCCGTGTGCCACATGTTCACACCCGGTGCAGCCGTCTACATTCCCCACCCAGTTTTTATTTCAGTAATCATTAAATCTTAAAGTAGGTTTAATGGATTATGTTCAGTTTTTCTTCCATGCCCACTGAAGTTGGGATGTGAAGGTGTATTCTAGTCCTAATGGCAGGACGTGCGAGTTATTTCAGCCGAGTAGTGTAGGCAGGAAGCTAAAGGTTTGATCTGAAGTCCGTTGTTTGTGTTGTTGTTCATGCCTTGCTTTAAGTGCTGTCTGATTAACTGTACATGTGTAAATACGTTCAAAACAGACTTTGTCTTATCAAAATGGACAATTGTGGATTATTGACCATTGTACATCTTTAAACTGTATGTATAATTTATTAAATCACAATGACAGTTCATCTTTTCTGCAGCGGTTCTTGACAGAATGGTTCGACCGAGTGAGACGGTAGAGCAGTAAAATTAATATTACTTGCCCAAGTGTGAGTAGTTAATTAGGAAAATGTGGATCTACGGAAGCCCTGTTCACATCGTCACTTGTTATGAGGTTTAAAGTCGTCATTATGAAATGAGAAATCTTAATTATGAGTTTTATAAAAGTCAGAACCACCATCTCATGACGTTGCATCTCATAAATATGACTTTAAATCATGACTATATGGGACTAAATAGATATAACAAAGGCATACCATATTTTTCAGACGATAAGACGCACTTTAATATTCTCAAAAATCAACAGTGAGACTAATAATCTGGTGCGCCTTGTAGTCAAAAAAATAAGGTAATTTTTTACATAATTAAGATTTATCATTTTCATAATGATTTTATCATAAAATTGACTTTTGAGTCTTGAAATGACTCTTAAATACAGTAGTCCCTCGATACTCCGTGGACTCGCTCTGTCTGGTTTTTCAAAATAAGATTGGACACGAAACACAATTGGCTGATTGATGGATGAGCTGCACGATCGGCATGGAGTTTTTATTTAAAGTAAATTATTTAAAATTATTGCTGCAGCCGATAAACTTCCTGTTGCAGCTGATCAGCTGTTCTCTGCAGAGTGAAGTGGGCGTGGCCAAGAGCGCTTGCAGGTGGCAAAGAGGAGGAGACAGGGAAGTCATGACATGCTGTGCTCTTTTAGGGCGTTTAGAAACATTTTTATTATTGTTATTATTACTATTCCTACTTCAGTTTTTCACTTATCGCGGGGCTTCAGGGTATAGATCCCCGCGATAAACGAGGGACTACCGTATTCCTTTGAGATGTCTCTTATAAAAACGACCTCATCCCTTTGTCTCGTTACTTACATCTCAACGACTTTGTATTTCGTAACCATGACCTTGAAACTCACAATTATGACAAATACTTTATTTCAAGTGGCTCGGTCACTACTTTAAATCATCTCGGGTTGTTCAGAAGATCAGTACACAACTGGTGGTAGAGTCACAGCCTCATCCTTTGGCCGAAGAGGAGACGGGAGTTCGATTCCAAAATGTTCTTTTAAAACCTCAGGGATCTCCTCGTCTTCAAGGTCCCGGCTCGTTTCTACCAAACCTGTCGCCTCCGATGGGAAAGTGGTGGTGATCAACCTGTGACCAATGTAGGTGACCCTTCCTCCTGGTTTTAGCAGCGTGCACAGGGACTTGCAGAAGAAAATGGAGCACGGAGAACTCTGGTGGTACAAACACATCTCCCTGAAGTCCTCCAGACGCCGAGGTTCAAGGGTGAACTTGTAGATCTCTGTCCAGTCTCCAGCTGGGCCCCCTCCCTCCTTCTGCCACTCCACAAAGAGCATCCCCGTGGTCCTCCTGACCCGGTAAACCCGGTGGCCCTGCTCCTGGGGGGCGCTGGTCTCCAGTGACAGAGGGGACCAAAAGCCCGGAACTCCGAACCCGACGTCGCACAGCCACCGCCCCCCCTCCAAGGTGACCATCAGGATCAGGTGGTCAAAGGGGGGTCCGTAGCGACCCGTGTTCGGACTCCTCACCTGAGCGGAGAGCAGGGTCACGTGGAAGCCCAGCCGGGTCAGGAACCAGGAGAACAGGGAGTTGTTCTCGAAGCAGAACCCCCCTCGGCGCCGGGTCACGATCTTGTCGTACAGGAGGGGGGCTTGGAGCTGGACCCGTCCGCCACTGTGGACCGTCAGGTTCTCAAACGGAACCGAGAGCAGGTGGCAGGTGTGGACCGAGCGGAGCAGCTCCAGGCTGGGCTCCTGTGCAGGACCCGAGAACCCGATACGAGACAGAAACCTGTCCACGTCCATGTCCACGGGAGAAACCGCGTGACGTGGAGCTCAGAGACTGAACTCTGTCCCCGGTTCGGGTGTGACAGGGACAGGGTCCGAACTTCCAGTACTGAGTCAAGAGACTGCAGGAGCGGAAATGCAGCAGAGGCGGAGCCATGGGGGGCCTGGGGGGGGCATAAGGGGTGTCCTGGTGGTAGGTGTTTTTCTTTTCAGACTAGTACAAGCTTCAGTTTGGATACTTGCCAAAACTTAGTACCATTACTGAGTAGTTAATGTACTTAAACACTATAACTAGAAACTGGGTGCACCATTGCAGTTTCTGGCGGATCACTAATTTCTAAAAAGCATGAGCTGCCGATTCCGATTTAGTTTTATAAGCGACACTGACAGGTGTTATAAGGTCACAATGCACCTTCAAAATTCCAATATTATTTTATTGAAAACCTTGAATATCCTGGAAACAAACTGGTTTTAACTGGTCGTGAGGTTGTGCTCCGAAATACAAATGAAGTTCAGACAATTGTTAAAACGACAAAAAAATTAAAAGTCCATGCTCAATAATCCAGGTACACAATCCAACATTTTACAGTCAGGACCTCTGGACAGTTTCTTTTTTTGTGTGCTGAAATGTTTCGCCTTCAATCCAGAAGGCTTCATCAGAAAAAATGGTAAAATTTGTTTCTCATGTAAGTATCGGCCGATCTCCCAAAATTAAGTAAATTCATTGGTGCACCCCTGTAGAAACTTCAAAGAGAGTTGTTATAATCTTAAGGGAATAGAGATATTTGTGAAACCTAAATTTTGAACTAGTTTTTGAAGGAATTAGATTATGGGATAATCTGGAGAGTGATGTTAAAAATGCCAGATCAATGAGTATGTTTAAGAGAACGGTCAGTTTGTTTGTTAAAAAAAAGTGAAATAGCTTAATGAGTATTTGTTTTCGAGAAAAGTTATTTATTTAGTTTTTGTTAGATTATTATTGTTTAAATTATTTTTTTGAAAAAGGGGCAGATAAGATTTTTTACTTCTTTCTGCTGCCTTTCGTTTTATTTGTGGTTGTATTTCTTATTGTATATAGAATTGTTTTGTTTTGTTTAAAAAAAATGAATAAACTTTATAATAATAAAAATCTTTTTTAATCAAGAAGTGGTTTATTTTCTTCACATGGCCTGTGTTTGTATGAAAACATTTCTAAAATTTGAACCTTTTTTGCGTTTTGTCCAGTTACTTGCAAAGTGGAGGAGGAAATGACGTCACCAAGCGTAACAGCGGTTATGTTTTTATGAACGATGGCTTGGACCACGCGCACAAAACAACAAGAAGAAGAAAACAATCATAAAATTAAAACAAACAAAAAATACCAAACAGTTAAAAAAAAAGGTATAAAAACATAAAATGGGTATTTATTTATTTATTTATTTCGTAAATCAGACGCTTCTTGTTACGTCCGGCTGTGACGTCACACGCCGCCGCTCCCTGTTCTCCAGCGGAGGGAGAAAGATGGCGCCCTCACACGTATTACGATGCTGTCAACGAGGTTTAGCGTGGATACCTGTGATCTTTATCGCCCTTGTCGTGTGCTGGTCTTATTACGCCTACGTGGTGGAGCTGTGCGTGTGTAAGTGGACGTCGTGCCGGCTCGTGTCGCGTGTCTTCGGGCTGTAACGTCTTCACTGAAGCGTCCTGTGGAACAGCTGCTGCCATCCGGAAGTGACCGACAGTGGAAGCTGGTTCCGAACCTGCTGGCTGGTTCCGAACCTGCTGGCTGGTTCCGAACCTGCTGGCTGGTTCCGTGTTGTTGTCAGGCGAGAAATGACTCTTAAAGCCAAACTTTCACCTGCTGCTCTTCGTGGTGGTGTCTCCACCTGATGATGGACACACAGATCTGATCTGTGTCTCCACCTGATGATGGACACAGATCTGATCTGTGTCTCCACCTGATGATGGACACAGGTCTGATCTGTGTCTCCACCTGATGATGGACACAGGTCTGATCTGTGTCTCCACCTGATGATGGACACACAGGTCTGATCTGTGTCTCCACCTGATGATGGACACAGGTCTGATCTGTGTCTCCACCTGATGATGGACACAGATCTGATCTGTCCTCTCTGAAACATGTGGCTCTGAAGGAAAGAGAGTTTTTCCACATTTGGGTTATTTCCATTATATCATTTTAGAATGACAACAACTTGGTCTGCAACAAGATATTTAAAATTGATCTTTTTAAATAATTGAGCTGCGTCTAATACAGTTTTAATGAGTACTTTTAAATAAGCCTTTGCATGAATTTATGTCCACTTCATAAAAACGTACTTGGTTTAGTTTGCTCAGACATTCCAAAGACGTCATGAACAGTTGATTAAACAGTTTCTCTGTGAAGCTCTTACGTTATCGTCTGTGCTTTTTAAAGGTTTGCTCTCTTTTAATTCCAGCTCAAGTGAAACTGACCACAGCTTCTGACATCACTCTTTAACTTGGTGTCACTTTGAAGGAAAGGGTTTAATTACAACAATGAACTTTCTCGAGTGGTACAATTAATGTTTGATGTGTGATCAAATCATAATTAAACTGTGAATTTATCCTTTTTATTAGATAGTGCTGATGTTGTGAGCATGCGATGGTATTTGGACTGTATTCTGCATCGAGGATCATTTATACATCTTAGCCTGCTGTTGGATCTGAATCCATTTTTCTTGCTCCACCTTTGCTGACTCCGTCATGTCACTGACGGTTGTGTTTTCTGTCTCTGCAGTCACCGTCCTCAGTACAACAGAGCAGCGTGAGTATTCACACATGGACTCGTGTTTTATCTGTTTGTTGCTCACTGGATTTATCTCCTCTAAGTCTGCACAGAAAACTTTGTGGATCTGGCACAAAAACAAAACGCTGAGCTTTTTGTTTGGGAGCCAGTTAGCGTCTCCTCCGTCAGCAGTCGGTGTTTGCTTCCCTCTCATTAGTTATAGACGTCCAGCTTCCTCTCAAGCCTTTTCAGTAGAATTAGCATTTCTTGAAATCAGCTTGTTCACGTTGTTCTGCTGCTCGTCTCCCTCCAGTCGTCTACCTGACCTTCTTCCACCTCTCCTTCATCATGTTTGTGTGGTCCTACTGGAAGACCATCTTCACCAATCCTGCCAACCCCTCCAAAGAGGTGAAACTCTGCAAACGCTCCGTTTGTTTCCGCGTCAACAAAACATCAACTGAAGACTTTTCAAAATGACGCGAGCATCTTTTTGATTTCCAGTTTTGCCTGCCAAAGGCTGAGAAGGAGCGTTACGAGAAAGAAGAGAGGCCGGAGTCCCAGCAGGAGATCCTGTGGAGAGCTGCCTCCAACCTGCCGCTGTACACCCGCACCGGCTCCGGAGGTCCGACTCCCGTTCATTACTAACCGTTTGTCCCGAGTCATGAGTTATAACTAAATGTTTTGTTGCGTCGCTGCAGCGATCCGCTACTGTGACCGCTGTCAAGTGATCAAGCCGGACCGGTGCCATCACTGCTCCGCATGTGACACGTGAGACGCTTTATTTAGCTCTTTTCTTATTGATTATCAGCTTTAAAGAGTTGTTTTGTACAGTCTGGCTGTAAAACTTGGTCATGGAAGGCGGCGTGCAATCCTTCAGGGAATGCTAGGCCTTTGATTTGTGTTTGACCTGCTCTTCTTCTTTCTGTGTGACAGGTGCGTGCTGAAGATGGACCACCACTGTCCCTGGTAACAAGTTGAAGCTGCTGCAGCTTCAAATGATCCATCCTTTGTTGGCTTTTGCACTGTTTTGATTCTTACCTTCACTTACTAAATATTTGTGCCCAGATGCAAAAAATCTTATAAAAATCTTATTGACTGTTTATAATAGTGTGAATGCTTATTAAGAATTCACACTATTGTTTTCCTGTTTAGAGTTATGATTCTGACTTTTATCCCTATTCTCTACGTTTTTCGGTGATTCTCGTCCCTTAGTTTTTATCTATTTCAACAAATCATAAATCAAAATGTTCAGCTCCTTCAGGACAATCCCACTGTGACTTTTGGTGCTGGTGCAACTTTAGCTTTTTGAAATATTTTAGCCTTTTCTGACATTTTTTCCTCATAGAAAATGAATTGAGCTCATTTTACATCCTTCAAATCTCAAGGTCTGTTTACAGAGTTTTACTGCTCCTTTCACATTTTGTTCTGCTTCAGCTTCTTTCAGCTTCTTTCAGCTTCTTTCAGCGTTTTCAGCTGTTTTTTTTTTTCCTCTCAGTTTTGATTTATTTGTGGGGAAACTGTCCCGAAAGACGTCCCAGGACGACTTTTTACAGACACAAGCAGCCATGAAGTGTTGGAGAAGATGCTGTAGAGCTGAGTAGGCTTCTTCTCCTTTTTTAATTTTCTAAGAAAGAAAGGCCAGCTGATGCAGTGGAGGTGGACCAACTTATTATTAACTAATAAAGTTCAAGCTTATTTATGATTTGCACCTTTTGAGATCAGTCGTTCCCAACAAACACCTGAGCTGTCCTGCAGAGGACTTTGTCACGTGGTTTGGTGGACCGTCCCCGTCCTCGGAGACGAGTCGCCAGGGTTTTGTTGGCGATGTGGAAATCTGAGCACAAGATGGCGCCTTTGCACTTTGTTACTTTGAAATATTCATGAAAACAATGTGCTTTTTTTATTCTGTTTGTTTTTTAACATGTCAAAGTGGTATTTTTGGTAAGACTGGTGCGTGTGCGTGTGTGTGTGTGTGTGTGTGTGTGTGTGCGTGTCACGGTTGAAATGGCAGTCGTTAGTTTTGTTTGCATGCCAGCTGATGTTGGAGTATGCTGCTTGAACCTGGGAGGCGTGCGCGTCGTGCGCATCGTGCGCAGCGTCCTTCTCTTCCTGTTCGTTGGCGTTTGGTCCGTGATGTTTTTTTCTACCGCTCGACTTTTCTCAGACACCAACACTCGTTGCCAAATAAGGGCTGGACTGTCAGGAGCTCTGACATCTGAACCTGAAGTGTTTACAGCTTTACCTTAAGACTCACTCATCATCATCATCATCATCGTTCAAATGGTGTTGAAGCTGCAGCTTTGATCTCAAGTTGTATTACCGGAAGTGGACAGCAGGTGGCGACAAAGCTCACCTGCTCTGATTGGAGGTTGAGTTCAGTTCTCTTCATTTAATGTTTCCTGTCTGCAAAGTGTGCCTGGGACAGATTTGAAGGACCCTTCAAAGTAAAGGTTGTGTTTACCTCTACAACTCGTTAACTCAGCCACAGCGTCACGTAAAGGACTCGAATTCAGGCCGTTTTACAGATATTAAGCTAAAACCTGGTGTGGTAGTAGCTGAGAGTCATTCTCAACACATACTCCAAACACTGCACATCTTCTCTGTTAGCAAAATATCTCATGAATCACTTAAGGGATCTTGTTGAAGTTCTAAATATTGGGTGTACGTCTACAACTCGTTAACTTTTAGAGTCAACCCAATTCAAAATGGCAGCCTCAGCCAACACAAACATAGCGGTAACAGTTCTGTGTGGTAGTAGCTGAGAGTCATGCGTGACAGATCTGTGGGCTGCAGCTTCTCGTCGTGAACTGGGAAGACTGGGCTGGTGTTAAACTGTTGCAGTGACCTGTCTCGTGTGAGTGTTGATCATCTGGCCAACGTGCAGCGTGTGCAAACCCCCCAGGCTCTGGTGGTGTTCGTGTTTACAGCGGTTTCTAACGTGCACGCCCAGCTTGTCGTGTTTTTACTGGAAAGAGTACTTTTGGTTACGTTTTTCTAAACTGTGTTCATGGTTACACTTTATAAACCAGTTTAATTTTGTTCTGCACTGGTACACTGTGGTTAAATCTCAAGGTTGCAGACCGAGACAGATCCAGGTGGAGTTGTGGTCTCGTCGTGTTCAGTGGAAGAAAACGATACGAGCTGCAGACCTGTGTCTTGCTTTACAGTTGCCTTGACTCTCTCCTGCCCGGCTCGTCTTGACGATAAATGTGTACGTGTGTTTTGCAATGATCCAGTGAGTGTGTCTTGTTTTGATCATTTTCTTGTCTGGGAGGAGAACCTTCAGCGCCGTCATGAGACTCTACATGTTGAGCGTGGCGTCGAACTTCTGTGAAAGGAAACAAAGTTTTGCTGTAATTGGAGTCCGTTGTTTTTATGTTTGTTTTTTTCTATCTCCAGTTATATTTGTTCATTTAGCTTTATTCTGTTTAACTGAAGCCATAAACTCCTGTGAAATCAGGAGAACGATCAGAGAACCTGCTTTTCACCTGATGCTCCGTCACCGGGCAGGTCGATCATAACTTACTACATTCTGAGGGTTTTTTATCATATTTTACAATTTGTTTATATTTACGTTAAAAAAACATATATTTTCTTGTATGGTTAATTTTCCAGTTATTTTGTGACTGAAGTACATGCTTCTACAGTTACTGTAACAATAAATGTTGTTTTATATGAATGTTTTTTTAATGTCAGCAGCCGTTTATTCCACATAAAAACTTGATTCAGTCACAGCAGAGAAACCTGCTCTTTGTTACTTCACGTGAGATATCGTTTGATTCTGGGACAAAAGTACAGGTGCTGCTCATAAAATGAGAACATGATGAAAAAGTTGATTTATTTCAGTAATTCCATTCAAAAAGTGAAACTTGTTTATTATATTCATTCATTACACACAGACTGATATATTTCAAATGTTTATTTCTTTTAATGTTGATGATTAGAACTGACAACTAATGAAAACCCCAAATTCAGCATCTAAGAAAATTAGAACATTGTGAAAAGGTTCAATATTGAAGACACCTGGTGTCACACTCTGATCAGCTGATTAACTCCAAACACCTGCAAAGTCCTTTAAATGGTCTCAGTCTGGTTCTGTAGCTACACAATCATGGAGAAGACTGCTGACTGGACAGTTGTTCAAAAGACGACCATTGACACCTTGCACAAGGAGGACAGGACACATGAGGTCATTGCTAAAGAGGCTGGCTGTTCATAGAGCTCTGTGTCCAAGCACATTAATAGAGAGGTGAAGGAAACGATGTAAAAAAAGAAGTGTACAACCAATAAGGATAACGGCATCCTGGGGAGGATGGTGAAACAAAACCCATTCCAAAATGTGGAGGAGATTCACAAAGAGTGGAATGTGTGTCAGTGTTTCAAGAACCACCACGCGCAGACGAGTCCACGATGGTTTAAGTGTAGAAGGTACTTCAAGACCTCAGGTTGAAGGCCCTACTGATAAAACTCCTTCTAGCATCCTAGCTAGAAAACAGTTAGACATTTCATTACCAATGAACCAGGAAAAGTTGTGTGCTGCCCAGAGAGCTGATTCTACACTGAAACAGTGTCTCTCCAAGGTGCTGAGGACGCTGAAAAGGAAAATCAAGCCTATTTCATTAAGAATGGTGTTTTGATGCGTGAATGGTCATCAGACACTAACCTTGACTCTAGTGTTGACCAGATACTGGTTCCTGCTGTTTACCGCCACAAGAACTTATCTGTGGCTCATGAGAGTAAATGGTCTGGACACTTTGGAGTAACAAAAACTTACCAGCTCATTTTACGTCATTTCTTCTGGCCTGGTCTTAAACGTGATGTAACTACTCACTGTCGTCGTCATATCTGTCAAGTCGCAGGTAAACCCAATCAAAGTCTTCCTCCAGCACCGATACACCCAGTCCCAGTCAGGGGTGAACTTGTCGACTGTGTTGGCCCTGTACCGCGAACACAGAAAGGTAACCAGTATTTACTCATGTGTGCTGCTACATGGTTTCCACTGCCACTACGTAACATAAGCACCAGTTCAATAGTTGGAGCTTTAATAAACTTCTTTTCTACTTTAGTCTTCCTCGAGTGATTCAAAGTGACCAAGGGAGTCATTTTCTCTCCAAACTCTTTAAACAAGTTCTCAAATCCTTGAATATCCAACGTGCTGTCTCATCATCCAGAGGCCCAAGGTGCTTTAGAACGGTGGCATCAAACGTTGAAGTCCATGCTCCGTAGATATTGTTTGCAGACAGAGAAGACCTGGATGAAGGAGTTCCTTTGTGTTGTTTGCTGCTCGTGAGGCTACTCAACAGTCTCAGGGATTCAGTCCTGCTGAATTGGTGTTTGGACACTCACCTCGTGGACCGTTAAAGGTCCTGAAAGAGAAACTTTCAGGTGATGATCAGATGCAGGAAGAAAACGTTCTAGACCACGTTAGTCGATTTCGTGAACGTTTGCATCAAGCAAATGTGCTCGAAGGAGTTTCTACCCCGCAAGCAGTGATGAAGCGACAGGCCGTTCAGCACAGCCCCGACATGTTGAAGTGGGACATAAGGTCTTAGCTCTACTTCCCTCTCCAGGCTCTGTCATTTCTGCTAAATTCTGTCGTCCCTCTGACGTTCTCAGACGTCTGAGTGATGTTGATTATGTCATGTACTCCAGAAAGGCGCGGGAAAACCCTTGTGTGTCACCTAAACATGTTAAAGAAATACTATTCAAATGATTAATCTGAATCACACAATGAAGCACAAAAACTGATACATAGTTGTGCTTCAGTAGTGATTGGCAGTTCCATAACTGAGGCTGATGATGAGCTCCGGCCACCTCATCCTGAACGTCTGACTGCACGTTGAAATAACTCTGAACTGTTGTTAAATTCAACACTTTTGTTGAACCACCTTCAGCCAACCCATCAACAAGAGATAATTTGCTTAGTTGCACGTTTTCCAACCATCTTTGGTGATGTTCCTTCTCAAACAAATCTCATTAAACATGACGTAGGTGTTGGTGGATCCCAGCCTATTAAACAACACCCTTACCGTGTCAATGCAACCAAACGCAAGTTACTGGAAGGGGAGACCAAATATCTCCTCCAAAACGGCTTGGCGGTTAATAGCTCCAGCCCTTGGAGTTCTCCATGTCTCCTACAGTTAAAACCAGATGGATCACCTCGGTTTATTACAGATTATAGAAAAGTGAATAAAGTTACAATTCCAGACTCTTATCCATTACCCAGAATGGAGGATTGCATTGATAACTTGAGTTTAGCCAACTATGTTCCAAAGCTTGATCTACTTAAAGGCTACTGGCAGGTTCCTCTTACTGCCCGTGCCTCTGACATTTCTGCATTTGTCACTCCTGACCGTTTGAATTGTTGCAAAAATGGCACAAAGCGCCCCCCACCACCACCACCACCACTGATTCTTCCTCCAACAGCTTACTCCAAAGTGGAACAAACAAAAAAGAAACAGTCCAGACGACCTGACTGAAAATGTTGAGTAATATGTCTGTCTTTCAACGGGTGTATCGAAAAGACAGACTCAAAGAGGGAAGACAACATTTTTGCAGTGCAACACAGAAGGAAAGTTCCAATTATTCTCATTTCTCAGAACAAAGAAATTCAATGATATTGAATTAAAATTCTTTTTTTTTTTGGGGGGGGGGGGGGTTGAATTAAAAACTTACACATTTTATTTAGGAAACAGTTTGTGCTCAGCATTGGCATCAAATGCATTTGTAATGTGG